GCCCCTTGGCAGCACTGCCCTGAGGGGCTATTGGCTGCCATCGCTATGGTGGCATGGCTGCCAAGGGCTGGTGAGTCGGGTGGCGATGCCTTGAGGCAGGGACCATCTGCTACGTGGTGTTTATGCAGCATCGGCCCAATGTTCTTGGCTGCTGTGATGGCCTCCCTGTCATGAAACGTATTTAATGACAAGGCAGGAGGATCTCAGGACTGTCCCTCCTCCGCAAAGCAGCCGCCTGCGGCAGGAATCTGCGAATGCTTGGTTTCCTCTGCCGCCGTCTGCTTTGACATGTCAGCTGAGAGACGTTGGGCGGGGGGAGAGACACTTGCCAAGCCGGGCAGTGCCCTGTGGTGACAAGTCCTCCTCCGCTGCGCCAGCTGGCAGGCAGAAACGTCACCTGCTGACTGTCCTCGTGACTGTGCACGTAAGCGCTCAGTGCCACCTCCACAGAGCTACACCGGGAGCTCCTGGGGTGGATGTTTCTTGGCAAGGGAAGGGGGAACAGTGGAAAGGTCAAAGCTGATCAAGCACAAAGATGCTGCTTTCAGGTTTGGGGCTCTGATGGAGAAGGGAAGGGCACAGACAAGCTCTGGAGAGCATCCTTCCTGCCCTCAGGGGTGAAGAGGATGGAGCCATGAAGGTTCCCACATGGACCCATGGAGACAAGAAGGGGTTGTGGAGCCAAGCGTGGTGAAAAGCATACATCAGCCATGGGGTCTTGCCTGCTCTGGGTTGCATTGCCAGACTGCAGCCCACCATGGCATGTCCCAAACCCTTCCTGGTGCCACAAGCAGTGCCTGAGCCCTCCAGGCCACCCAGCTCCCCAGGGTGGCTGCCATACCTGCATCCTCAGTGGCACTGCTGAGGAGTCCGATTTTCTTGAGGTGGCTGGGGGTGGAGACAGACAGGGACATGACATCGCCAATGGCCTCATGGAAGCCAGGGTTGGCCCCACTGCGGAAGGAGACGGGCTGGTCCTTGTACTGCAGGTAGTACTGGACGTGGCCCATCTCATGGTGCACCGTGAACAGCTGCTCCATGGTCACCGTTGTGCACTGCTTGATCCTGCCGGGTGAAAACAGAGCATTGCCTGAGCTGAGTGAGGGACCCCGGCTGCCTGTGCACCCCCTCGATGGGAAGGACCCTCCACAGTCCCTGAGAGGGTGGCAGCATCCCATGGGGTAGGGGAAAGACCCAGTGGAGGGGAAAGCAGGGCAGCGTGGTGTCCCAAGACCTTACCCCAGAAGGTGACAGATGGGGCTGCGTGGCCAGGCTGTGGGTACCCAAAATGGTGACCACCAAGGGGGATGGAGGAGGGTCTTACCCTGTAGCCCTGGGCCCCTGCATGCCCCCACACACCTGAAGTCCTTGCGGTTGTAGAAGTCCCAGGCTGAGGCGTGACACACCACCTCCCGCTCATCCGTTGGCTTCTCCAGCATGGACTTCTCCCAGAATTCAGGGGGCATCTCCAGCAGCCGCAGGGAGGGGAAGCACTCC